CGGCGTGGTGGGCGAGGGGCGGGAGAGGGAGGCACAAAGAGGCCTGAAACTTTGAGGGGCTGCCGATAGGTGACAGTAGCATCGACAGGCTACAGCCATTTGCTCACCCGTCCCGTAACTATATGCGGCCCTGCAATCCACCATCTCCCACGACCCACGAGGCCGGCCTCCGTCCTGCGCTACACAAATCTAAATAAATAATCAATCTGTATCGGCTCTCTGTCTCTCGGGAAATATATATATATGCATTGTAAGTCGACGGCAAAAAATCAGCAACCAGTATGTATGTTTACAACGCAATGTGCCCGCCTGTCGACCCAAACCCACCAGCACCACGTAGCGTCACGTTCAAGTCCTGCAATCGCGCCTCGCGTCAGATCCGCCCGTTGTACGTCCACAAAAATAATCGGAGCTACTTACGTTCACTTCGATAACATCAGGCGTCTCGATCTTTTCGATAATGAGTTGCGCAACGCGATCGCCTTCTTGGACTGTCGTGCTTATCAGTGTTACGTCCAGAGAAAAAAAAAATAGAAAACAAAAGGGGTAGAGAAACTTACTCTCAAAGTCAGAATCCGAGTGATTGAAAAGAAGGACGAAGACAATGCCTCGGTAATCCGAGTCGATGACTCCGGCTCCGGTGTCAATCATGAATTTCGAAGCTAAAGGGACATTAGATACCCGCGTGATAACAACGATGGCAGAAAAGGACGCGAGCGTACCGAGACCGCTGCGCGGGGCAACGCGTCCGTAGCAACCCTGCGGAACAGCTATGGATATTTGAGTGTCCACCAGGGCCTTGCTTTTCGCGGGCACCACCTTCTTCTCGGCACTGCGTGTCGCGATAAGTTCAGGCTAATCCATATACGGGGAGATCAATTTACCTATAGAGGTCGTATCCTGCTGCGAATGGCGACCCACGCGTCGGCAGCGTCGCCTTGTCCGACAGGCGTTTTATCAATAGCTGGGAGGAAGGCGGCGGCGCAGCGCTCTCTTCGAGCTTGCGCTTCTTTTCGACGACTCCCTCTGGGACCGTGTTGACTATCGTGTCGGTGGGCATCGTGAAGGGGTGGTTAGAGGACAGAAAGAAAGAGACGCGTCGACGCGTCGCAGTATGTGACTAACGCGTGACAATGGGCAAGCGTCACGCACGCCCTTTGAATCCGTGCACAGTGGAGGCTCGTTCAGCCGCCCTTTGCTTCCGTCCATCACCACCCATGTCTTCGAGCTCGACGCAGGACTGGCTCAAAGGCCTGCAAATGCCATTGGATAGCTTCTTCGATGCACCAGGGTCGAGCGCCGGCCGCCGCGGGAATGCCAGTGCGAAACGGAAGCGGGAGGGGAAAGGCGCGGCCAAGGAGGCGGGGCAGGCCCCGTCGAAGCGGCCGAAGACACACAGCACAAGGGACAAGCCCACAAAGGATACAGGCCTTTCGCTCGCGGAGGAACGCGGCGCTGCGTCGCCGCCGAAAGCTCAAGGGAGTCGCCGCGGCGCGCTGCTCGACGTCACCGCGCAGCAGAACAGTCCCCGCGCGCGCCGGCGCTTGGGCAAAGACGCGTCCGCACAGCGCCGGGCGCTCTTCGCGTCGCCTACGCGGAGATCTCCAAAGAGACCAAAAGGCAGGCCAATCGTGTCGGACGTCATCGAGCTGGACGACTCGTCCAACGATGCGTCTCCCCTTCCCCGTCCGTCGTTCGGTCGCACTCCGATAAGACCGCTGCCCAAGAAACTGGGTCGGACGAAAGGGAACCTGCCCACCCCGCCGTCGTCCAACTTCATCCCCAGCAGGACAAAGACCCAAGATCCGCCTGTCCCGGGTCCTCTCCCGTGATTGTTAGAAAGTTAGCATTCGGCCGCGCTGCAGAGCCTGAGCGAGTTGCGCAGACGCCAGTCGCGGGCTCATCTACCGCACTGAAGGCTAACTACATGACTCCCGAAACATTGAATATACTGCGTCTGAAATTCGCCTCCCCAGAACGTTCCTCGCATCCCCCGCTCCCCGCGCTAAAGACTAACCTCGCCTTGTCCCCGACTTCATCTCTGACACCCCTTTCCTTCGAAGGCGAGGAACCTAAGGGACTAGAAGATACAAAATACGATGATATTGTTCCCTCGTCGCAGACGCAATACCTAGTTATGTCTCCCCCGAAGAACTCAGTGTTCACATTCACGCGGCCTAAGCCTCTGTCGATGACAACGGTCCCGTCCTCGCAGTCGCAGCCCGCCGTGTTGTCTCCGCGCAAAACGCGCAAGCCCGCACCGCTCTTCACGCGAGGTTTCGGGTTCCTTCAGGACTCGACAGATGATAAAGGCAGACTCAATCTCGTGGTCCCAACATCACAGGAGGATGAGGTGGAGATCAGTTTGTTAGATGCGACGGCTCCGCGGCTATCCCAGATGCTCGGGGCAGCAACTAACGATGAGCACGTGGATGCGCCGAGAAAGGATGAGCCTGCTCTCCCTGCATCGTAAGCACTTGTTTCCCCACTAGGACGTACAGGGAAGACACTGAATGATTAGCGTCTTTGGTATTCAGATCTGCTCCTGAGTCCGCAAGTCTAAAGTCAAATTCTAAAGACGATCCCGAAATTGGAAATTTCTCAGAAGAAGCTCTACCACAACACCAGGATGCACCCTCAGTCGCTATTTCGCATTCCGAAAGCCAGCATGATCCCCCGCACTCCGAGGAAAAGAAGTCGGAATCTGCGCCTTCTACGCAATTCCGCGAATTTTATGCCATGCTGGAACGTCTGGACCGTCTCGCCGACGAGTCACTCCCGCCTTCGCCTTCTATGGAGAATCGCTATCATCCCCCTGAACTTTTGCGGCCACGCTCACGAGTCGCATCTCTTTCTTCTCCAAACAAAGCTCACAAAGACATCTGCGACGCAGGCTCCTCAAAAACTGCAGCCATTCAAAGCCAAAGCATTTCAGTTGCTTCAGAGACGCAGCCGGACAGCCAGTCCCAATCGGCAGACATGTTCATGCAGAGCTCGGTGACGGAGCCGGACCCGTGGAACTCCGACGACGACCCGTTCTCCGTCTCGAACAGCGCATATAGGGCGCACCTCGGACTCAGCCCGCTGCCCTCGCCAAGCCGGCGCTCGAACCGCGAACGGGACGCAAGCGCAGACACGGCCGGGCCAAGCGACCCGTCCGGGCCACCCACGTGCACGCAGAGCTCCGTGACGCAGGTGGACTCGGACGAGGAGGACCCCTTCCCCACGCTGCCGCCGACATCGACGGCGGCTTCGCGGGCGGACCGCGAAGCGGTGCGAGCGCACCTGCTGGGCTCGCAGGAGTTGGAACACGGGCATACGTCCGACGAAAAGGATTCGCCTCGCGCAGGTCCATCCCGCCCGAGCCGAGGGAGTCTCGGACTGGGTCAAGCCGGCGACGAAACTCAAGTGGAAGCGAAAGCGAAAGCCTGGCGAGCCAGCCGATGCCGGACATTGGCTCGCTCGATGACACGTTTGACGTCTCAGCCTCGTCCCCGCTACGCATGGCTGCGCGCGCGCGCAGCGCATTCAGTAAGGGCAAGTTCAGGCGGCGAGACAGAGGATCATTCGTCATCGAGCATGAGGGCCGCGATCACTCCTGCGAAGAGTCAGGCCTCGGCACGGGAGAGCCGATGCCGTCTGTGGTCAAGGATTTCTTGAGTATTTTCGATGAAGACTCGGAGGCTGGCACGCAGAGTGCGGGTGAAGGAAGGTTTTCTTTTTCGCCTTGTTAAAAAGCCTAATTGATTTGTTTTTGCCGGGGAAGATGAGAGGATGTACGGATGAGTTTTGGGTTTTATGCTATTTCATCTGTTTGGTCGCTTTGCTGCGATCCCATGCATGTATTATGAATCTCTCCAACAAGAATAAACTGAATAATCGCATACAATAAAAAGAAAAATTGACAGGCAAAGTCGTAAATGAAGAACTTTAAGAGGTACCGTAAAATGACTCTTGAGATATTCCATGACCACCGCAGGTCTCGAACCTGCAATCTCCTGATTAGAACATTAAGAATTCGTAGTCAGACGCGATACCATTTCGCCAGGCGGCCTATGCTGAGCCATAATCTCATTAGCTATTAGTGTAACCATCCGCCTGCAATTTGTCCGTACTTATACGCATTGCGCACCGTAATTCGAGCTTCGTCTTCTCTTACTCGAATTACAGAGTTTTCTCCCGTCTGTTTTCTACTATTGAGTTACAAATTATGAATTACAGCATACCATATGACTAATCTTACTCTGGTTTGATAAAATTCTTTGTGAACAGCATAATTTCCCCGACTTTACACGTTTGCGGCACAAAAGTTAGAGCCTGGTTTTCTTCCTACCAATGTTCTCCTGTTAAACGCACCTCAACCAGCTTTTTCATAGTTTTAACCACGCTTTTTTCAGTGCTCAATCCGCATGACGTGGGTTCATCGCGCAGTGTCAGGGTACTAGTACAACTTGGCACAAGTTTCGATCTACGTGCTAATCCAAACCTTTCGGAGATTTTCAAGTCTTTTAAGGCTACACCGCGTAAGATTTGATTCCTCCTATTATCTTCAAACACCTTCCAGGTGGACATGCACTAATTATCGTGCTTCAAGATATGCACTAAATTGACGGGATTCGCCGATAATATGGAACGTAGGTATCTCATGGAATGTTTCGCGCGATTTCCAATCTTGCAGAATGTGGAGTTTGGCTTAGTCCTGACGACGACTTCCCGGACAACTTTACGGTACTCTCGTTTGACCTTAAGTGAGGTATAATTTATATATACAAATAACATATGAAATATCATAGCTAAGTCTAACACATGATGCTCTACGGGCCACATTCAGCAAGAATGCAATGAAGATGTCCGGGAAGGCACCTGCACTTCATCCTCTGAGAGAAGGGGGACCGAACATCACTCATTCTCTCCGGTAGGAAGTCCGGTAGAAAAGCACGCAGTGCTGGTTCATACAAGCCGTAAGGAAATTCACCGCTTCCAATTGACAAAATAACAATGGCCGCCTGGCGAAATGGTATCGCGTCTGACTACGAATCAGGAGATTGCAGGTTCGAGACCTGCGGTGGTCATTTTGTTTTATTTTTATTTGAATTATTATAGCCCTCAGCATAAGCTTTTGCCATCGGAAGCAACGCCTTCATCCACCAGTCTTTTGTTGTATCCATTATAGGCAGGGCTATCGAGGCAGGTTTCTCTACGATACATATACCTTGTACGTCGACCTAATATACTTTGGTACCAGCTACGAATAGCTAAGCTACGGAATGTGTCATTGCTCTTGTGCGTTGGTACTTGCAAAAACAACAAAAATATCAAAAAATCACGCAAAAAAATTGCTTCATACGTACAGTAAGAAGGAAAGGGAGCGAGATGCGTTTTCGGATTTTGTTTTCTCTGGCCTTCAGCTCAGGACGTGTTACAGAATCACGTGTAGCCGACACGCTACGTGTTGTGCGGAAGTTCGAACAAGGTGGCAATTTCTGGATTCCACACTCTTTTGAATGGTCATAACATACTAGCATCAAGACTATAATCAATGGGCATATATGTAATAGTCATTCTTTAACGCCATCTTGGACCCCTTCGATTCATACCACTGCAGGGAGGTTGAGAGGCTAAATCTGTTCGACTAAACCGCTAGCTTTCGATTGTATCTTGCGGTGCGGATAGCCTTCTTTTCTGAGATCGAAGTGAGGTATCACGTTCATTTCTGTCTTTGACAGGCTTTCGTTTGAGATGCAGGCGTTTCGGAGCCGCTGGACGCAAATTCGGAATGGACGGTTCATTCGAAGTGGGCACGGAGTTTACCAAGACATCATCAGGTTTGGCCCCGGCGCCGAGGGCGAGCATCCACTGAAAGGCTTCGTCATAGTCTACGCATTTCAGGACCCAAACATTGGCTTCCTAAAGAATTCGTGAGTCGAAAAGGGGCTTGGATCACTCATTCTCTGTCAGAGGGCGATCTCACTTCATTCCTCTGTTCTAAGCCTCTTCTGATGTCGCACAGCTTAGGGTAAGAATTTCGGCCCGAAATATGTACGATATTGAACCTTCATGTGGGTCAGAATTGACGAACGACTCAAGCAAAGCGGCGACAGACCTTTCCGAGCAAACCATCCCATTCCGCCGTTGAAAAAGGATTACACTTTTTCCAGCACGTAGTCGCCTGTGTATAACCATTGGTTGGTGACTAAACGCACAATTACCTTGAATCGCTTTGATTCAGGCTGGCTCATTTTCCCCTTCGAACAATTCCTTGTCCTCGCCCAGGTCGAACAGAAGTCCATGCGCGCCGCAAACCTGTGGCGCGTACGGTTGCTCGTCTAGCTTAAGACATACGAAGAATGGGCAGTTAAGAAGCACCGAGAAATTCTCGTGGGGGCGGAGTGTTTGGCCTCTAGCACTGCAGCGGAAGGTGCTAATCAAGAATTTGCGCGTTGTCGTGTGTTTCGTCAGAGCGACAGGAGCGGAGATCGGGAATAAAGGGTTCTTGAGGTGATTGAGACGGGCATAATTCGTATCGCTGACTAACGGTAAGTAGTTGATTTGAGGTTTCAAGGATTTCTGGGTGCAAATTCAACAGCGAGTAACTGGTAAAGAAATGCTTATGTGACGCACATTCACAAGCTTTGCACAGAACCTGCTTTTTTCGATGCTGTCCCCGGTTCCGGGAGTAGGCATGGCCAGATTCATCTTGCTTTTTGATGAACACGCTTCGGAAGCTGCAGTATCCACAACGGACGGGCCGCAGCTCAGGGCTGCCATCGCAGGATTTCGAAAAGAATTTTCCGGTGGGCTCGAAGGAAGGGAGTTCGCATAACGGCTTGTCTCCAGAGGAACTACTGGTTCCACTGGACTTGGTGAGTCGCATTTATATGGATCAGTGTGGTACAGTGATTTCTGTACCTTTGGGCATTGTTATTGTCGTGGGTTCGGCTTTCCACACCATCATCGGCTCTGGATGTTCAGTTTCATGAAGTTTCGTAGCTGAAGCATTCTCCGCGTTAAGGCCTTGGACAGTATGACCAGTATGCTCTGACGACTCTGGCTGAGCATCATGTGAATTATGTTTCATACTTGAGAACCGTTCGCGAAGAGCTGAAAGAGTAAGTACTAATGCGATATAAGACACTAACAACATTCTCGAAAACATTTGACAGCTCACTTTCATGTAATGGTTTCGAAGTATCGGAATCAGCCATCGCGCTTTCCGTAACGGACACGGGATTCACAGCACGCTCGTGTACATCAACTTTTTGCTCTTGTATCGATAGAAAATGTCTGCTCAGAGCGCTTGTTAAGTGATTAGCTGCATTTCCCTTCTGTATGTTGGTACGGCTGTTTTTTCGCTTTGACTTCTGTGTTCCTGCGTGTATTTCGCTTTCGAGCTCGTCGACTTCATCTTCGCTGTCTTCTCTGAGGACTTCGATCCGCGGTACTGAGGGTGGAGGCATACGGGGCAGACTCTACACAGAGTATGTTACAATATTTTTATTAGCGGAATTACTCGCATACTAGGCGCACATTTGGATTTGACTTTGAGCTCAACGGGGTGTTGTAATGGACCAGGCTCTCCAAATTTTGTATGGGAGTAGTGATTCTCAATAAAGAATTATGAGCATTAGACAAAAACGATAATGCGAACTGAGCTCACATTCAAGCTGTCGGTTGACGGGGATGGTCTTATTTTGCTTTCATTAGATTTCTGAGCAAATTAATGAGTTTTGCGGACAAAACAAAAAACGAAAGAGTGCGTTTAGAAGGTTGAATGGACTCACGTCTCGATTTGAAGGAGTCAATTTTAACTCCGCTGTGTTCAACTCCGCTACTGTTTGCTGATTTCCCGATTCCGAGTCTGCGAGTAAGAGAGCGCCATGATCCTGAGCAAGCCAACAGCTTTAACGAAACCGCGACCTTCACCGTGTAGAAGTATCACCAAACCTTCTCTCCGCTGGAGACTTGACATGTCAGATACGGGTCATCCACGCCTTCGACTGGTGAAAATATAACTGAGTCACAGTGTTGTCCTTCTGCCATTAATTTGAGGCGATCTTCCTCAAGTCTCTTCTTGTCAAGTTCCAGCAGTTTGATATGCATCGAAAATTTCTGGAGCTGGCCCCGGAGTTTCGCATTCTCATCTCGAAGATGCCATAGCTCGATGTTCTCGGACATATTTCCAGGCACTGTAAGGAGGTTAAGAAAGTTGTGCGCTCGAGCTCACGGTCGCGTTCAGTTGGACGCGTTTGAACTGTCAGTGTTACACATTGCAATCACGTGCACGTGCACCGACATGACATCCGACTTCTTTTCTTGTACCCATTTTTTCCTCATTCAAATTCATGATAAGTTCGGAAAAACACTGTAACTCGCATTCTGCTGCGTTCTCCGATTTATCTGTGCGGCTAAAGAGCGGAAGTGTCGTCGGGTGTCGCTTACTAATCAATCGCCAAACGTTACGTGACACAGCATACGCGCTGAAATTTTGAGATTTGCAGTCCAGTTGTCAGAAGGGCCGTCTGGACTACAGCTGCTTTCACTTATGCTTTCGCTGTCCTTCGTCAAGCCAAATCTTGCTCACATTTGTCGTCACGCCTCCAGGAGAGCTTCAAGAATCAGGAACTATGCAACAGAACTGAACACCTCCAACTTCGCTAAGCCGTCGGCGTTTGGCCAGCCATCTATTTCCCTCGCACCCCAACCTTGGTCGGACAATTCAAATCGCGTAAAAAAAAAGGCTTTGCTCACGCGTCTTTTAGACAGTCCAGCAAGATGAAATTACGCCTGGTTTTACCTCGAAGGAGTATGAGACACGGAGAGCAAGGCTCATGCAGCAGCTCCCAAACTCGTGCATGGTCGTTTCTATCGCGAATCCTGTAAAATATATGAGTGGAGGTGAGCTTGGGTATATAAGACTGCTTGGCACAGCTCTTACCTCGTTCTAAGAGATATTGTGAGTATCCTGAACCCAAGGAACGCAAGAGGTGTTTTACCTCATGCGTCCCGCAGTTACAAGTTTCGGCAGGCGTCCGACTTCTGGTACTTGACTGGCTTCCAGGAGCCTGAGTCCGCGGTTGTACTAGGTATGCGATGGGTCCTCTTAAAGACAAATCACTAACAAGGGCTCAAGAGAAGAACTCGTCGAATTACAAGATGACGCTCTTCTGTCGAGGCAAGGACGCCGCAAGGGAACAATGGGAAGGATCGAGGTACGGAGTTTATTGTTCCTTTTAAGCCGTATAAGTTCTGACATGTAGCCTTGTAGGACCGACTTCGACACCGCCGCTGCCGTATTCGGCGCAGACGACGTGCGGCCCATAGACGAGTTCCCCGCTACGTTGAAGGCACTCTCGTCGCACTACTCGTACGTGTATGCCGACGGCGCGGGGTCTGCTCGGCGTGCGCGCCAGCAGAAGTCGCTCATGCGCTACCTGACGTCGCCCTCCTCGTCACGGTCTAGGGCCGAGCACGAGTACGAGAGCGCAATTGATGCACTCTCAAGTGCGAAACGCCGGAGCCTCGCCGCGGAGGTTGCGAAGATGCGTAACGTAAAGAGCGAGGCGGAACAGCGCGTCATGCAGCAGGCTGCACAGATCAGCGGCCGAGCACACGCAAAGGTGAGTGATCCTTGTCATATATCTGCGTCTAATAAAGATATGAAAGACGAGAACGTAGACTATGCGTTTCACGGAACCAGGGATGCCGGAGTCTGCGCTTTCTGCGCACTTCGAATATATTTGTGCATTGAACGGGTCACAGCGACCAGCTTACGTTCCTGTAGTCGCATCGGGGTGGGTGAAGTGAATGCCTCGCGAGTAAGATCCAGTGCTGAAAGAAAGTGCGCTCTTAGAGCGAATGCATTAATCATTCACTACACCTCTAATGACCAGGTTGTGCGTGACGGTGAGATGGTTTTGATTGACGCGGGATGCGAATACAAGTACGAATCTCTTTTTTAAACTGGGAATTGTCGCTCACCTTGTTATTTTAGCGGCTACGCATCGGACATCAGTATGTGTCTCAAAGGGAATAATTATCACAGCATTCTGTCTAAGTCCTTAATTGAACTTGC